TGTGTTGACCTCAAGTCTTTACAAAGGAACCAAATTTATAAGCAGCTGTAGGGTACTTTTAAAAACCAAAGGCATGTCATGAAATCCATCACACAACTCACATCCACAGCATAATGAATCTTCTGCAGTTCCTTGTAAAGGCAGCTGGTGGACCCCTCCATTGGCTCCTGAACCCCCTGAATACCCTGAGTCCTTCACAGGCACAAAATCACTCATTCCAAAGGGAGGAGCCACTAGCTCTCAGGCTGTCTTCTGAGAACCAGCCTGTCTAAAGGGAGATTGTGTATGCTCACACAAACGTGCATGTGCACACCTGTGCAAGCAAGTAAGTGTGTGTGTGTGTTCACGTATGCGTGTACGCACGGGAGCATTAGAAGTGAAATGTCTGGCCAACACCTAACTTTTTCAGGTGTATAGAGTCTTCACTTATTTAGCAATGATCTCTGGAGGCTCACTTTGAGCCAGACACTCTCCATAAGGGTTACAATTGTAGGAGTGGATGAGGTCCTTGTCTCCATGAAGCGTTCATTCTGGTGTGAAGAGATAAGCCACAAACAAACAATCAGTGAGTAAGTGGAATGCTGGCCAAAAATTGTACCGAAAGAAAATTAAATTGGACTGTTGTGACAGAGAAGCTGGGTGACTACTTTAGCACAGGTCACTGGGGGAAGGCCTTTCTGGGAACACTTTATTTACCTAAATTACAAGAACAAGAATGACACCCATGCCCTTGGAGGGGCTGTACTTCCAGACATCCTGGATTTTCCTTGATTTACAGTGGGAATCTGTACCACCTGGAGTTGTAGAAGGTCTAGAATTGTTGTGTTTTTATTTTAATGCTATCGTTCTAGAAATGAAGAAAGTAATCAAGAAAAGTGAACGAGGGTTTTTCCTTGTTACCTAGGTTCTCTGCAGCTGTGGATTGGAGTCCGGTTACTCTTTGCTTTACATCTAGCATCCATTTATGAGTGAGTACATAGGGTATTGGCCTTTCTGTGCCTGAAGGATACAGGGAATGCCCTAGTTGGGGGAAATAGGTGAGACCTCCTGGGTAAACTTGGGGTGGGTGGGGTAGAGGGGAGGGGATGGGGGTGAGAGCTCGAGGGAACAGGATGGTAAGGTGGAGGGAGGGGCAGAGTGGGAGAGCAATGAAAGAGACAGCTTGATAGAATGATAGTGGAGACAGTGCCTGAACTGGCCTTCCCCTGTAATCAGATTTGGGACTACCCTAACTGTCATCAGAGCCTTCATCCAGTAATTCATGGAAGCAGATGCAGAGATCCACAGCCAAGCACTGGGTCATGCTTCTGGAGTCCAGTTAAAGAGAGGGAGGAGGGATTATATGAGCAAGGGCAGTCAAGATCATGATGGGGAAACCCACAGAGACAACTGACCCAGGCTCATGGAAGCTCACTGACTCTAGACTGACAGATAGGGAGCCTGCAAAGGACTGAAGTAGGCTCTCTGCATGTGGGCAACAGTTGTGTAGCTTGGTCTGTCTGTGGGGCCCCTGGCAGTGGGATCAGGTTCCATTACTGGTGTATGATCGGGTTTTTTGGAGCCCATTCCCTATAGTGGGATGCCTTGTTCAGCCTTGATGCAGGGGGCAGGGGCTTGGCCTTGCCTTGACTGAATATGCCATGGCTTTGTTGGCTCCCCATGCCTTTTCTGAGAAGTGGGTTGGGTAAGTTGGGGGGAAGTGGATGGAATAGGAGGAGGGGTGGGAGGGGGAACTGTGATTGATATGTAAAATGAATAAAAAATTGAAAAAAAGGTGAACTAATTGATCAGGCAACAGGGTTAGTGGCCAATCAGGCTAGAAGCTGTTGACCCTTCTTTCAAAGACTCCAGTTCCTCCCCTGATAATTGCTCCAGTACTCATGCCTTCCCTGTAGAATGTTCACCAACATGCCTACTGGCAAGACTCCACAGACACTAAGCTCCCATGGACCCCATGGGACATGGTGAAATGACCCTAGGAACCTTGAAGAAATGATATCCTGGGTGCTGCAAGGTAAAGCCATCCAGCACATCCAGTCATATTTGGGGTAGAGGCTGGTCCCTGCCATTCCTCCTGCCTGGGAGAGAACAGGGCTTTTGGTCCTTGGCATTCCTCCTGCCTGTGAATGACCAGAGCTTCTGAATGTGGGAGCTGCATTGCCCTGTAAGTTCAACTATTGCTAAGCAACTTTTCTCAGAAATGTTTCCTAGTTTAATCAATTCAATATGCAAATGTTCTAGTCTATGGCCTTAACCCCTCCTCACATGCTTAGCAAAACAAAAAGATTAGGCATAGAATTTCTTTAAGAAGTGAGCTCCTCTGATGCATTTAAAGTATGATGTATAAAACTCAATCTACATAAAGATTTTATGCCATCTTAAAAAAAAGAAAACTGCCATTATATCAAGGGCAATAGCATAAACTTGGACACCTAATGATGGATCTTGGACTCTTATTATGTAATGGCTCTCATTCATTCCACAAATATTTATTAAACTGTTTTATGCATTGCACATATCCAGATTGTTATAGGGACATGATGATAGGAGGCCTCTGCCCTCTGAGAGCACGCAGGCTCACAGTCCCAACTCAGGGCAGCTACGGCGAGGCTGCAACAGAGGTCTAAACCGAAGCTGCAGGGCACACTGGGTAAGAAAGTATACCACAATTGGGATCGGAGAAGGGGGCAGTAAGATCTTAATTGGACTTCAAAGAACGCTTACAACTTCTATAATTGTACAATTCATTCATCCCAGGAAAAGGAAGCATGGCATCTTGTGCAGGAAGTAGGACACATCAGGACACATTCCCAGAACAGATAGAGTCTGATACAGATGATACGGAAAGGCTGACAAACCTTGGAGGCTGGACCAGAGCCTTGAATGCAAGACCAGATAAAATGCAGACCTGTTTAGTGAACAGTAGCAGCCTGGAGTATTTGGGCCAGGGAAAGAATATGTAATTGTGTTTTAGGAAGCCTATTCCTACAGCCACATGTAAGGCTGGCTTCTGGACAGAGAGGCTCATTAAAGTAAGGCAGAATTGATGCGACAAATGATCTAACCCCCAGAGGGGAAGACAATTGTAGAAAGAGGTGAGGGTCCCAGGCCCTCTGCAGGTCTCTAAGTACTGACCTTTAAAGGACAGTGTGAGATGCTAACTGCTTGAAACAATTACCATGACCCCAGTACATAAGAGCTACCCAGCTGTACAGTTCCTGATCCATGCATGCCATCTCAGTCATTAATAACCCCTCTTCTAGAGATAGGCAGAAGTTCTGTTAAATGGGAGGGATGAGGACACTTCAGAAATTATGGCATCTTGACAGAAGCAGTGGAAAGTAGGTTGATTCAGGTGGACAGCAGGAAACCAGGGTTCATCTCTTTCTGGTCAAATGGGAACTCAGTAAGGGAGAATAACTTCAATCAAGATCACCAGGTGTGATTTAAATCTTTTTACTATGATGATGTCACATCTGATGATGTCACAATAACACAATGGGCAGAGGCCTCTCAACAGTCAGAGTTGGGTTTTGAATTCCACTGGCTGAGTCACAAATGTCCAGTTTACAGACGGACCTATTACTTAGCTGTCTGAGACTCTGAGATATCATTGTGAGTTTTGGAGAGTTTATCCCTGGCTACAACAAAATACTAATTGTCCCCCAAAGTACACATACCAAAAGCTTGGCTGTTTGCCCATGGCATGCCTGGAAAATGATGGGACCTTTAGGATGTGAAGTCTAGAGGGAGGAAGTTGGGTCATCAGAAATGTGCCTTCGAAAGAATATCAGGGTCACAGTGTTTTCCTTTTGTCTCCCATATACCATGAGATGAACAGGCAACATGATCCCCATTCTTATCCCTATCCTACCACAGACCCAAGTCAACAGGTTCAGGTTACCATGGAGTAAAAGTCCAAAACTTGAAACCAACCCTTTCTATAAGAGTTGGTGTCTTATTCTGTCACAGTTATAGGATGCTGCTGATGACATACTTGGCTTCTACTCTATTTAGAACCATGTTGACATCATGGAATCTATTCTTAGCCAACTGGCCCACAGAAACTATGAACATAGTCTTCAATCAGTTACCCAGTGTGCTTTGCATTAAGTAAGATTATTAGTGGTCTCATGTTAAAAATATTTTGGGAAATGTCATGTTAAATAAAGTTAAAGATGCCTCTGTGTTCTAAGACATGTCTGAACTTTCTGAGATTCCTTGGACTGAAAAGCAGTACTAGCATTTTCCCAGTATTACTTATTTTCAGAACCATTTGTTGGAGTGTTTCAAGGGACAAATGCCAGGAGGATACACCTGCAAAAAAACAGTGATCACTCTTGGACATTTAATATGGAATCTGGATTATTGAATGCTCACTGTGTTCTAGGCTCTGCCCCAAGTGTTTCATAGATACCAATATATTGAATTGCCATTTTATAAGTAAAGAGACTGAAGACCTGAGTAGTTAAGAGATTCCCGCCCCCCCCCAGTGTCCTAAATAGGCAAGTGGGTGAGCAGAATTGGATCTAAAGGTAGAATCTCAAAGTCTGTGATCAGCTGGTAGCTGGGCAGATTAGGACCTCATGTACCTGTTTCCAGTCACAGGAAACAGTGTCAGCCTGTCTGCTTGTGCACTAGGCTTGTGCACCATGGATGCAAGTTCCAACTGGTACTATGTAGTTGGTTTCCTCAGCAAATTAATTTGTTGCATTGCATATGTGTCATCTCCCAATATAACCGACATGAGCTAGAAAGCAATGCAACCACCGATAGTAATCAGAACATAAAAAACAACAACCTCGTGATTAGCCAAAGTAGCAAGAGAATGAAGACACATGCTTGAGGTGTGGCCTCTCCTGGGCTCTAATCTCTTGCTCCTGACGCCTAGAAATGGAAACCAAGAGTTTGTTTTCCTATAAGGTGCTGTACTGCTGTTGGGTCGGGACCTCACACCTGCCTCTCTGCTCAGCTCAAGGATTGCCAAAGACATGTCCTACCCTCTCCCACTTCCTCTCCTTGTTCAGAAGGATTATCACCAGCTTCGGATGCATCTGGTAGCCATCTTCACTGAAGGACAGGTTTCTCCCCTCAAAAGTGACATTGATGAGATACCTGTAATGACAGAATTAAAGGAAGATTATAAGTGTGAAAAAAAAAAAACGATAGAAAGAAGAAGGCATTTAGGTTTACCAAAAGTTATATGGAGACAGACCAGTAAGACAGGGACACAGACAACCACTAGTTAACTGGCACTCTTCAAGTTCCTATTGATTATGCAATACCCATCCAAGTTTTACAAAAGGAATCATGTGAAAGAAATATCAGAACTGGAAATAAGGACGGCTCATTTGAGTCCAGTCGAAGGCTCCGACTTTGACTAAATAATTAAGAAAAAAAGATTTGCTTTTGCTTAAGTTATATGTATGCATATTTGTCTGTGTGTGGGGGGGTATGGTGTGCAGGTACCTGCAGAGGCCGGAAGGTGGCGCTGGGTCCCCCAGGGCTGTAGCTACGGGTGGTTTGTGAGCTACCCACAATAGGTTCTAGGAACCAAACCCAGGTCCTCTAGGTTTGCATATGCTCTTTCTTATCTGCTGAGTCATCTCTCCATCCCTCATCCCTTTTGAGCCTGTTACCCCCCCCTTTACCCACACACACATCTGCAAAAAGTCTGGTAATAGAAAGATCACCTAATTAAGTCTATAAGCTTAAATGAGACAACTGGGTTAAGCACTTGCCATAGGTTCTGGCACATAGTAAGTGCTCATTAAGTGTTAACAATTAGTATTCAGAAAGGGAGGTGGGATAAAGGGTGGAGGAGATGGAGACAAGAAAAGAAAATGGCTATGTACCAAGACAACTTTCTGCCAAAAAAGGTAGCATGTAGGCGCCTTGGTATGTCTCCACCCCCAAACAGGCACACTCTTTAGATTCTCCCTAAGGGTCTTGCTCAGCCCTTGTTTGTAAGGCCGCCTGAGTGTGGTGGGCCAGAGGCATCTGGAACCCAGGACTTCTGCTGGCTGCACAGTGAGCAGAAATACCGAGTGTGGGGAAAGGAGCGGGGAGGGTTTTACACAGTGCTCTGGGGACAGAGCATACATGAGTGGAAATTCTAGACGAATGAAATGGTTTTCCTGCAGGACACGTGTCCCCAGGCCACCCTGTCCCTTGCCAGCAGATGGGTCTAAGAAGCAACTCACTTACTGGGAATCCCCACAGGCCTGCTTATTACAAGCACATTAGTGCAACCAGACTGATGGTAATTAATGTCCCTTTACCATAAAGACCCATGGAATCAATAAGGACGAGTTCTGTGCTCATGTGACATTCTCCTCTAGCGTTGTGGGCCTGGCTGCTAGTGAGATGAGCCTCTGCTAGAAAGAAAATGAGCCGTCTTCCAAAGCAGTGGAGAGGCCTCTCGAAGGCCTCTCTTCTGGCTCTTCTTCAGACATCGGGGAGTTGCTTGTTGCAGGTTATGTTAGGTTAAGCAATGTTGCAGGGATGTGGATCCTGCAGCATCTGAAAAGGCGTGTGTGCAGAATGAACCAACCCCCTCAAGGGCACTTCTCATTCTAGGATGGTCTTAGATTGCCGTGCCTGCCATGCCCCAATCATCTGCAGCTTGAGAGATACAGCTGCGAGCACAGAAGGTTCCAAAAGAATAGAAATTTCTAGAATTTTGAACTGAGACTTTTCAAGTCAGCTAGCTTGCTTCCTCTCACAATTGATGCTTTCTCTCTACAGTATCATTGACTTGGTCCTCCCGGCTTCTTTTGAATGCTCCTGTTGATGGGGGAACTTAGTGTGGTACCCACCACCCTCAGGCAGCCATCTCACGATTCTGTCTTATTTAAAGCTGATTTCCACCCCTTTGCAACTCTTCAAAACTTGTTTCCTCTTGGGATATTTTAAGGTTTTAGTCTAGTCTTCTTTTATCCAAGCATTCTTCAAGCATTTGAAGGCATATGTCAAACATCCCTTATAAAAATCTATTTTAATTTGTGAAGAAACCCTAAGCTCATTTGCTTCTATAATTTAATTTTATGGATTAGCAAAGAGAAACTTTAGATTGTTTACTCAATATTGCATTATTAGTTTTGATCATAAATAATACATTAAGCAGTATCTCAGCTCCCACAGCCTTTCTACCATACCGCCCTTGTTCTCATAGCAACATGGGACTCAACATCTCCTGATGTGTCCATCATGTGCCATGGCCTCAAGCTCCTCCTCTCTTTGAGCAACTTCAGTCAGTAGAGTACAGCATCTCTGGCCAACTCACGTCTCACATGGCATCTTCTTCATCCTTGTCTCTGATCCTGACCTCTTCACCAAGCTAGTGTGGCTTCCCCGAGTTCATCACCACTTTGATGGTGATATCCAGATTTACTACAGTTGGCAATAGCTCAAAACCCAACCCAAATTCCTATTCTATGGCATATAATTACAAAACCAGCATTTTAAACTAACGAACTGCATCCACCATCATGAACTTGCAAAATATGTTCTTCCTATAATAGTACTGAACTACTTGGAATTATTTCTGGAGGTCTTCAGAGAAAGATTATGCAACAAGAAAACCCAGTTTAGTCTTTTTAAAGAAGGAAGGAAAGATGGGAGGGAGGGATAAAGGAAATGAAAAGAAGGAAGAGATAGGAAGGAGGAGGAAAGAGATGGGGGAAATGAATTGCCAGCTTAAGTACCCACTTCTTCACCAGTCATGGATATGAATTATTCTGCCTTTATCCAAAACACTATTAAAATATCTATAAGGAAGTGTCCATTAAAGAAGGCAATTATAGACATTCCAGAAATGATTAAATCCCTAAGTAACAGCAGTTGTGTGGTTGGTATATAGCCCCACAATGACTTTCCTGAAGGGGTTAGCATCCAGCTGGGAACATAAATGGAGAAATTAGAAAGTTTAAGAAATAAAACCCACTTGAAGGTGCTATAACTGGCCTATAGTTAAATCTCTCTCTTACTTTGGCTCTGTGTCCTGATTCTATGTAGAGATCATTGCCTTGCTGACATGTTCTCCCTTTCCTGCCTCTTGGGCTCATTTCATCTACCCACCTAAGCTCTGTTTGGATGCTTTACACTTATCAAGACTGTTAATAAAGTTTTATGACACCATACAAAATATTCTACAAAGTGCATTTTAAACATTGGTGTCATTTGGCAGCATACAGATTAATCATTCACAGAATGTGTGTTTTCTTTCTGAGAAAGTGTCCGTGCCATGACACCATTGAGCTTCCAGGGCATTTGAAAACTTACCCTAGCCCTGAGCAAGGATGGCTTTTGAACAGCAGAGCACATCAGTCCACTCACTGGTTATACAAGAGTGAAAATGCCTCTGGCTGAGGCCACTTCTCTACTTGTGATCTCAGCACCCAAACTTTAGTTAACAATCTTAAAATGGAATTGGCATCTGACCCCCAAAATTAGAGAAAACAGTCATTGCGATGAACGAATGGCAGATAGTAACACTGCATAAAATGTGATTTTAAATATGAGACTGTATCATAGGGAAGACTCAGGAAGAAAATGGTGTTAGCATAATATGACCGTCTAAAGGCAAGACACCTGCCAAATTCTGAGCTTCTCTGAGGAAAATCTGATAGTACAACTCACAAGAGCTGCCCATATATGGGCTACATGCAAAGGACAGAGACTAAATTCCACATATGGAAGCAACTCTAGGTCATAAGATCACATGGATAATTAAACTCCCATAACAACTGAAAATATCTAATTACCTTTAGATCTGGCTGTACTTTATTCATTTAAAATATTAAGGCCTTAAGGCCTTGAAATCCCCCACAAAGAAGTCCTGGATAAAACAATAAACTATAGTAAAGTTTTTTGTTTTTGTTTTTTTGAAACAGGGTTTCTCTGTATTCTTTTGGAGGCTGTCCTGGAACTCGCTCTGTAGACCAGGCTAGCCTCGAACTCACAGAGATCAGCCTACCTCTGCCTCCCTAGTGTTGGGATTAAAGGCGTGCACCACCAACGTCCGGCATAGTAAAGATTCTATGACCCCATAATCACTGGTTTCTTTATTCATCACACACACACACACACACACACACACACACACACACACACACACACACACACAGCAAATCCCCCTGGCTTAGGGGAAGCCTAATGTAGAAATGCTGTCCATAACACTCTTATCTCTCTGAAGTCCTACCTAGGTTGGATATAGCAAAATTTTGCTTGGTTTATTTCTCAGATGTCGTTTGATATCCAAGAAACTACAGTGGCCTATCTCATAATGCTGTAGTATCACAAAGAATCTGAGCTTGCCAGGACTCAAACAAAAGTGCAAAAGGATTCATTGAAACTCTTAGTTTAGAAAGAAACAGATCCCAGGATGCTAAATGATCTCCCCAAGTGACATTTCACATTCAGGTTCAGAGATCAGGTCTTCTATTCTGAAGAGTTTAGTGTCTTTTCATGATACTCTGAAGTGACATCAGTTCTCAAAGCTCCTGTTGTGTGCTTTAGCATCTTTATAGCACATGTCACACTCTGGATTACCCAAATCTACTGAGACAAGTGAACTAAAGAGAATTCCCATTCTGCTTACTTCCTGGTTGAGCAAGAAATTCAGGATCTTGATGGGTGCCCAACCAACCAGTTTGTTTTCCACCACCTAAGTCCCACTCCAACAGGTTTAATAGGGTCAAGCAGAGGTCAATAACCTGTGCCTTTGACTTTGGCCACATGGAGCTCTTCTTACACAGTACCATGTAGACTACAGACCTGAAGTGATGACTCAGCAGTGAGCCCTGAGTGGGAAGCACCGGAAAGAATTTTGCCAGTATTTGTCAGCAGACCAAGAGCCCTGGCATGAAGGCTCCTTTCTGTCTTCATGCTGTTAGAAAGTATTATCTTTATAAAAAGGGATGTCAATTAAAGTGGTTGCAACATGCAGCAGGATCATCAGCCTGGCTCATCCAATCCTGTCACTGTCACCCAGAAGAGATCTGTTGCTTGACCTAGATCAGGTGACAAGGTTAGAAACAGCATCCAGAGGTTCTCAACCCAGTCTGTGTTCTTTTTATTCACCGCCATGTTTCTAAAGGGTAGGCAGGTTTTCA